TAAAGGCTCTGAAATCATTTTACTTGCGTTTGTTTGTTGTTTTAGATTTGTTTTTAGATTTTAGTTCTGATTTTGTAGCAACGCTATTCTTGAAAAAAGCACGACCCAAGCACTCTACAACACGCTTCTACGGTCCAGTAACCACACTAAATTAATCATAGTCTGCAATAATTTAGTTAAATTTAGCGCAATTTAGTTTTAGTTAGTGTTTCACGGATATATTGTTTGCACTCTATCAAGAGATAAATAGATAGCTTTAATAGGAAAATCATATRGCAGCCAAAAAGGCTGAATTGCATGATATTTACTATAATAAATAGGGTATGAAGATGTGGAATAATAATGATAAAATTCTTAAATGTAACTATATTACAAGGATAATAAAGATAAAAATTCCTTTATACAAAATAAGACGGAATAAATCAATCTTCTACTCATGGTAGGTAAAAAGGTGGAGCAAAATCGTTTTGTACACGTTTTTTTGCGCAGCAAAACGGCGCTGTTTCCGTAGTCTGTAGGGGAAATTGTTCTTGTACGGCAAAAAATGATGGAGTTTGTGCTCTGGTTGAGAGACTATCTGCCCGAACAACTTTTGACAGTGGTCGTCACGTCTTTCCTTCAAAGTATCTAATTCATACAGCTGCAATGCGTCGTGATAAGAAAGTGCAGGAGATATTATAGATAAAGCACGCTTCTGGACGTTATTCAGTCAAATTTCATGCAATTTTTAGGCAAAATATGATGATGACACCGTACAAACATCTCATGCTATGCTGAGAATATTATCATGTTGTTACGTTGTGGGAGAGCCACACAGCCTGGTTCATAAGGGCGACCTGACGAGTGACACGGACATAACGATATACATGGAAGAAAAGTAAAGTTGTAGTTATTGGCTTTATTTCTTATTTTGTTCACATCAGAATCAAAATGACAGATCGAGAATTCAAAACAGTTGGATGCTGGTATATATATTTTTTATAATTACGGCAATATTTGTTGTGCTGTTATGTGGTCTGTGTGAATAATAGTCTTTAGAGTCATTTCTTATTTCAGAAAGGCTTTACAGAGAAAATTACTTGATGTCTTGCTTCTTCATCATATTTATGCTGAGACAGCCACTCATGTCGAACTAGTAAATATGATTTCGTACGCTACGCTCGGTCTTTTCTTTTCATTCTTTTTTTCAGATTCTTTCATAGTTCCTTTTTTTCATGCGATAATTTAATCCATATAAACATAACAATGTAATTTTTCCCTTTTTAAAAAATAGTAAAAATATAAAAGTAATTACGCCATTTTGCAGGTCAACACTTCATTCATATAACTCAAAAAAAAAAATCAAATAAACTTGATCTTGATGTTCCGGAAACGTTGCAATTCGTGCAAAGTCGATCTGAGGGATTTAAGCTTAAATTACATTTATTTCCTTTTTTCACTGAATCTAATAGCAACTTCCGCTATTGCTGAATCCGTTCTACTATTTCCATGACCTTTACTTAGATCAATACTTAAATTACTCAAGAGGTGGACAATAAAAGGCTTGCACGTTTTGGCAAATTCATATCGTCATGGAGGGCAGTGGAAAATCTAAAACGAGTTGTATACTTCAGCTTGGTGTATTGCTGAATTTAGCCCTGACAATACTGTCTGTGGGGTATTTGACTTACAGAGTGCACACTTTGGATGAACGAATCGTTCGATGTGAGCAAATCAAGAAAACAGAGTCAGACGTTGATGTATATAAAAATCGCTTGCCAAGAGCGGCTAACAATGGCTCGAGAGATCCAACTAGTGCTTGTACCAAATGCAGAGATCTCTGTATGCAAATCTTCTCGTCTAGATCATCCAAAAAGGTATACGCAATTCTACATTGTCACTATGACTTTTAATGAACAAACACGAGATTTCACGAAACTTTTAGATACAATGTAAACGATCTTATTTCGTTTTTGCACTGTGCAAAGCAATTCGTCATTTACAAGAACAAAATATTCTGTCAAGCCTTTTGATATATTGACTCTCAACATGGACCAAGAAGCAAACAGCAACACTATTTCTGTGAAATAAACAAACTTTTACTATAAAGTTTATAACGACAAGACTCGACGTTTCGGTGGCATCAGTCACCATTTTCAAGAGTAAAGTAATTGTAAGATCGTGGTTTGATTATTAATAATATTTAATAGTAAAAGTTACTAAGAACAAACACCTTATAACCAAACTTGACAATGATACGAAAATCATATTTGTGAAAGTTTCCAGACATTTCTAATGAAATCTAATATAGTGTACATATCAAGTTGGATAAAGTCGCCAAGTTTGTGACCTCTGTGAATTGATAAATCAAAGGCAGGGTGTATTAATATAACTGCTATTTATCTCATAGTTAAAATCGTCAAAACCATCAAGTAAACCAGTTTGTTTCAGAGGTATGAAATTTTCTTCACTATTCCATCAATCTCTTTATTTGTGAGAAAATTTCCATTTGATAATTTAAGGTCCGCCCGGAGCACCGGGTCCACAAGGGCCGAAAGGACCAAGTGGACAAAGGGGAAGACGTGGTAAACGAGGATTTCGAGGATCTCCTGGAATACAAGGTCCACCTGGAGTAGCAGGTCCGCAGGGACCAAGGGGATTGCCAGGAACAGCACTCTCTGGAAAAGCTTATATTGTCCATTCCCTTGGTAGGTATTTGACCATAACGAAATCCCAAATAAACGTACGAATTATTCAATGGTAAAAACATGTAAAATATACAACCTATGTGCATTCCAATCTTTTTTAAAGCTCTTCCAAAAATAACCAAAAGACCTCCATCTGTTCTTGTCACCAAAGAAGGCGATAATGTGGTTATTCCGTCCAAAGCCTCTGGTTTCCCTAAACCTAGAATCTCGTGGTACAAAGACAACAAGAAAGTAGACGAGCGATTCTATATCACTGGTGCTCTACGAATAAAGAATGTAAAGTTCGAAGACCATGGGGTTTACTTATTGAAAGCAAAGAATTTCATTGGTCAAGCTACAGCGAAAATGAAACTTGTTGTAAATGGTAATGCCATACTTGCAATATCGTTTAAATAAATAGTTTTTGCTCAGACAATGAGTATTTCAATTTAGCTGACTTCAATTCAGTTCTGATAACTAAATAGCTTATTTAGCCAAATATAAAATTCTTTATACGAAACTGCGACTGTGGTCGTCCAATAGCATTGAGGATAATCATTAATATACCATTTTCTTTAAATAGTTGCTCCACGATTCGTGGTTCGGCCTCCGGTTTACTTCGCTGGTTATGAAAATTGGAACACAACCATCACATGCAATATATTTGGGTTTCCTCCTCCGCGGATCGAGTGGACGCGAGCATTGCAAGACATGTCTAAGGAACGCCATGTAAAAACTGGTAACAGCCTTGTTATCATGAATACAAAGAGAGAAGATAAGGGACCCTACATGTGCAAGGGCATTAATAACCAAGGGAATGTCGCTGCTTTTGTAGTGCTTAATGTTTATACTGTCAGTAAGTATCAATTGGATGTATTCATCAATTTCTAGACGAAAGCTTTGAGACAACTGATCAAAGCATATAAACATTGTGCATTCGAAATAACACATATTTAATCTAAGGTGATTTGATCCCCAAGTAGATAACAATAATTTTAAGAAAAAGATTTAGCTTTTTATTATTGCACTTGTGTCATTAACCTTG